GTCTGCTTCTTCCTCTGACCCTCCTCCCTCTCATGCTCTCTGTCTCTCATTCTCTCTCTCTCAAATAAATAAACAAAATCTTTAAAAAAAAAGAGTCAGCCACTCAACCGACTTGCACCCAGGCGCCCCTTGGACATCTAATTTCCAAGGGATTAACAACAGCCCCAGTGAGAGGCGGGTATGGAGAAAGGAGTGTGAGTTTAAGAGAAAAGGAAGGTCTAAGCTCAGATTCCAAAATCTGCCACTTACTAAGGCTAATCAGTAAAGCGGTAAAAACAATTCATACTTTGTATGTTGTTACATTACAGAGATTATTAGATTAAAAGATTAAAATGGGAGGGGAGAGATCTCATAATTTGTTTTTAGAGAGAGAATACATGGCGGGAATTGAAGAAGTTTCTTTCGTCACATATAAAGTCCAAAGGGAGTACCTACTTGGAGATCTGCTTCAGTGCATTAACTACTCATGATGAAAGACTATAGGTCATTCATTTAGCAAATATTTTGAGGACTTACCATGTGCCAAGCCTGTGCTAGGTGTTGGGGAGACCTCTGCAAATACTATAGACATAAGTGTTCTTAAACGGCTTATAGTCTAGTAAGTGAAGTAAACCAGCAAATGGGATATCAGAGTAGTTTGGGTGCCACAGGAGCACAGGAAAACACCCCAAATCTGGGAGGGAGGTAGCAGGGAAAGATCACTGTGGAAAGTAATCGCCAAGGAAAAACCTGAAGAATAAGTAGGAGTGAGCTGAAGGAGGACAAGTTCTAGACAGACAATAGCACATACAAAGGTCCTGAGGTGAAGCAATGCTGCAAAGTCAAGAAATTACAAGTAGTTTCAATCTGGTGGAACTTTGAGCACAGCCTCAATGAGCAAGTACAAAGGGGGATGAAGCAGAGATAAAAGAGTAGGGGGATAATGCAGTTAGCAATGTGAGCAGGAGTCAGATCATGAAGTGGTCTATAAACCATCCATGCTAAAGAGCTTAATCCTGGAGACGAAGGGAGTTACTGAAGAGTGGGAATGACCCGATCAGATTTATTTTTCAGGAAGATCACTCTGACTGCAATGTGGGAAAAGAGTTTGGGAAATCTTTTACATCATATAAAAAAACTATTTTATTTATTTATTTTTAAAGATTTTATTTATTTATTTTGACAGAGAGAGACACAGCGAGAGAGGGAACACAAGCAGGGGGAGTCGGAGAGGGAGAAGCAGGCTTCCCGTGGAGCAGGGAGCCCGATGCGGGGCTCGATCCCAGGACTCTTGGATCATGACCTGAGCCAAAGGAAGACGCTTAACAACTGAGCCACCCAGGCACCCCTAAAGAAACTATTTTAAAAGAAACCTTCCCCGGAGTGCCTAGGTGGCTCAGTCGTTTGAGCATCTGACTTGCAGTTTCAGCTCAAGGCATGATCTCAGGGTCCTGGGACTGAGCACCGAATCAGGCTCCCTGCTCAGCAAGGATTCTCTCTCTCCCTCTCCTCCTCTCCCCTCGGCTCACATGCTCTCGCTCTCTCTAAAATAAATAAATAAATCTTTTAAAAAAAGAAAAGAAACCTTCCCTCCATCCCCCCAAAACCCAAACCAACTGCTAAAAGAATCTCAACTGTTTCAGAAATAAAACATTTACTTGTAACTTAAAGGAGAACTTCTTAAGAGCTTTTGGCTACAATGATCTGCAAACATAGCAAAATAAAAGATAAGGCTATGTAATTTCAGGTAAGCCTTGTTTGCTAGGAACAAGAGAAGAAAAGAGAGGTCGTTAACCCTTACCATTCCACTCCCTTTACGCCTACCTCCCGCAGGCAGTTTATACCAGCTCAATCTTTGTCTTTCATTTAGGGACCAAATTTGTGCACCAAAATAAGAATTTGTTCATAGGCTTGGGGAAACTGCTAGAAGTGTGCCAGATAACTTTAAAAAACTACATGCTAACAGATGAGAACCAGTTCTGATCACAACATCAAGCAAAATTAATCTAAGCTATTTTGCCAATGGTCATTAAATAATGAGAATTTCTGTAAGTAGTGTCTACATTAGAAAGTCTGAGACCCTACAATAATACGGTGCAAGCACCAGAACATAATAATTAGAATTAGATACTTTCTCGAATTTGCCTTTTAAAAATAAATTATGCCATTAAGCACTAAATGCGGGGATTAAAATTTCATAAACTTCTAGTTAAATCAAATGTGGTGACAACTACTGGCACATGACCAAATACTAAAAAAATCTCAGCTGTTTTAGAAATAAAACATTTGCTTCCAGCTTGAAGCAAAACTTTTTAGGGTCTATGGTTAAACTGATCTGCAAATATAGCATAAGAATAACAGGTAAGGGAAGTCTTTTATGTGACAAACGAAATGCTAAATCAACCTTTAAAATAAAAAATTGGGGGGATGTTGGGCTGAAACTCACAAAAGGCTTTAAGACAAAGTAAATGACTACACATTCCTAAAAATTAAGATACGTACATTTTCTAGAATAATTAGAAACATGGGAATTTATCATTATCATGAGACAATGCTTACAAGGTCATGTGCCAATTAAAAAAACATTAATACTACAACTACTTTAGAGAACAGAGTCAAATCTGTTCTTTGAAAGGGATCAATTCCTTATTTTTTTCTTCTGCAATTAGAGAAAGTCTCTGCTTTTCATACTTTCTAAAAATAATTACATAAATTTAGTATTTTAAAACACGCTTGGGGAGCTTGGGAAGCAACAACTTAATCATTTCAAAAATCACTATTTCCAAAACTACTGTAATTTTATATAGAGTTCATTTATTTAGTGACCAGCGTAAAGGACTAGCATAGTGAAGAATGACACAATGGGAAATACATTAGACTGGGAATCAAGATACTCATTCACCCATTTATTCCTTTGTTAAACAGCTGAATCCTGCTTTAGTGCCAGGCCTACAGACACTAAAAAAATATTTAAGTCCTCAAAGAAACATAATACTCTATTTCATCAAATTTGGGACACTATCAATCATAAGACTAACTCTTAACTAATAAAGAAAAAATGCTTTCAATTAAATGACATAATGCCTTGAATGAATCACATCAGCCTTTCGTTGCTTTGATATTTTTAAAATCTATTCAGAAAAATTTGGCAATTTTTCCTGCCTTCAATACATTGCTTGCCATTTTAAATGGCAATCTTTTTTTTAAATATATACATCTCTCTACAAAACACAGCTTCATCTACTTAGGGGTGCCCTCCTTTCTTGGCTCCCATAAAGCACTTAGTTGTTATTTTTGAAGAAAAGTAAATGAAATTGTGATGATTTCTCTAAAGGCAAATGTTTACTTTCACGAATACCAAATTTACATCTCTCTACTTTGTTTCAGTCTTTTCTGTGCGTTCAATGACTTTTTTGTTTCAATGCCAAATCATAACAAAATCTTTCTTGAAGATATTCTAAATGGCAATTAAATCCACCATATGTCGCAGTGACACCAGGTACAGAACTCTATTGAAACGATGACGCTAACTGTAACTGTGACTAAGTGTGGAGAGGCACAGGCGACGACAACCTACCCACACGGCCACCGGACAGCCAGCAACTGGAAGATACCAAGTGTCAGACACATTCCAAATGCAGAGTGAAAAAAGGTGTCTCAGAATCACAACTCGCGCAGCTCTGTGAGGAGAGGACATTGTACCTACTCAGACGTTACGCCATGAAAACCTGTACAGAGGCAGATTAAGTGCCTGCAGATGAGGAAAATGAGTCATGGGGAGAGGCAGCGGGCCCACGTAACTTGCCCAGTACCACGAAGCTAGCACGTGGCAAGGCTAGCAGCTGAACTCGTACAGCCTGGGCCGAGAGGCTCTGCTTTGAACCACTGGGCCATGTGGCCTCTCAAGCTAATAATCAATAACCGGCTTTGTGACCTGAGGCAAATCACTAGAGACTCCTTTCCTTATTTTGAAACGGAGGGAACTGGAACAGATGATGATGGAGTTCTTTCCCGGGATGAAAATATTAAAATTCTATAATCTTCTACAGTAAAATTTTATTCCCATGCTGGTTTCTCCTTGCGCTAATACAATGCAAACCTTCACCGCCGTTAGTGATGAGTGAAAGGAATCTAACTTTTACTACTGGTCTAAAATAAGACATACTTAGGAAGGTATTTAAGAAACAGACACACATGGGGGCGCCTGGGTGGCTCAGTCATTAAGCGTCTGCCTTCGGCTCAGGTCATGATCCCAGGGTCCTGGGATCGAGTCCCGCGTCGGGCTCCCTGCTCAGCGGGGAGCCTGCTTCTCCCTCTCCCACTCCCCCTGCTTGTGTTCCCTCTCTCACTGTCTCTCTGTCAAATAAATAAATAAAATCTTAAAAGAAAGAAACAAACACACATGGGGGCTCCTGGGTGGCTCAGTCGTTAAAGCATCTGCCTTCGGCTCAGATCATGGCCCCAGGGTCCTGGGATCGAGCCCCGCGTCGGGCTCCCTGCTCTGCGGGAAGCCTGCTTCTCCCTCCCCCACTCCCCCTGCTTGTGTTCCCTCTCTCGCTGTGTCTCTCTCTGTCAAATAAATAAATAAAATCTTCAAAAAATAAATAAAAAAAAGAAACAGACACACATGTATTTGTACCACTACTTCTTTTTTTTTTTTTTTAGGGTGATGGCAAAAAGTTGACTTAGAAATAAACGAGCCAGTGCGTGGGTTCTACTCTGTGTACTATACTTATGATAGAATTTAGTCATTTCAAAATTTAATCCAAAATTAACATATGACTTCAAGGTGTCAGTTTCAACAGATGCTCACAATGCAGAACTGCTTATTCTTTAAAAATTCTGTTCATTTATGAGGGGGAAAAAAACAACAAATTAATAACATATAAATACTGCAACATCGTTCCTCTTGAGCCAATTTAAAGGTGGGATTAAGTGTATCACACACTTGACAACTCCTCTGCCCTAAGGAGGGTGGGGGGGCCACACCCTTTAGGTTTCCTTCTACAGGCCCAGCCAGCTGCACTCCCACCCAGGTAACCTCCCTTCGGCCCCACAAACTCTGATCATCAGGCAACCCACTGAGGCTTAAAATAATTCGTAATATTTCACTTTGAAGTTGTCCTCAGGAGGAGAGTTAGCAAAGGAAAGAGATCAAAATACAGAGTCTTTAACACTTCCATTATTCATTCCTAAACATCATACATCGTATCAGTTTTGGCCTGCTTTTCTCTTTTACATATACACATACACGTATACACAGTAAATTATTTGCCCCAACAAAAATCAGAGAAAACATTAAAAAGATTTCTGGTGGAAAAAGTGAAAAAGAGAACATAAATGAACTACTAGCAAAAGTGGGCTTAGAAAAACAAAGCAAGCGAGAAAGATGCCCCCAAACAGAAGGCTCTCATCAGTACTCGGAATATTCCTATTACATACCTTCCCATGCTGCCCAGCTCTCTCGTAACAAATGACAACATCTTCCCACATTTCTAGCTTCTCAAATATCTGAAGGGCTGAACTCGTGCATCCCAGCTCAAAGAGAAAACGTGCAAGTTGGCGCTAAAAGAGTCAAGTTAAAATAATGAACATTTCTTTATGTAAAGAGATTCCTGTTTCACTTGTGGGTGCGCTAACCTGCCATTTTAAGGGTCTGCTTACTGTAATAAATACATCATTTCTACAGTTTGACCTCAACTAATTAGAAATTTGCAATGATTCAATACTTACCTTTACTTTAGCAAGTTTCTTTATAGATGGCAAGGAATTAAAAAACTATAATATAGGAACTTTTCAAAACACTCAATATATCAATTTTTTCCTAAGAACCCAGAAGAACTTAAAAGCAAAATCAGCATTTCTTTCTTACCTAGAGATTCTGTGACCATCTCTGATTTGTAAAGCTGAGATCCAATAAATCAACTTGAAAAACTCTAGTTAGAATGCCTGGTATCAAAAAGAAAAGTGTTGGCGGGGATGTGGAGAAAAGGGAACCCTTGTGCACTGTGGGCGCCAATGTCAACTGGTGCAGCCACCATGGAAAACAGTCTGAAGGCTCCTCAAAAAATTAAAAATAGAGCTACTAAGCGATCCAGCTTTCCCACTTCTGGGCATTTATTCAAAGAAATGAAAATATTCACTTGAAAAAATATCTCTACCCCCGTGTTCATTATAGCATTATTTACAATAACTGAGACACGGGAGCAGCCTAAGTGTCCATCAAGGGATGAATGGATAAAGAAATTGTAGTGTGTGTGTACACCCAACACACACACACACACACACACACACACTGGAATCTTATTCAGCCATAAAAAAGAATGAAAGCTTAGCATGTGTGACAACACAGATGAGGTCGACCTGGTGGGCATTATGCTAAGTGAAATAAATCAGACAGAGAAAAACAAATACAGTACAATCTGACTCACATGAGAAATCTGAAAAAGTCAGATTCATAGAAACAGAACAGACTGGTGGCTGCCAGAGGTTGAGGGGTGGTGGTGAGAGAAATGGATGAAGGTGGTCAAAAAATACAAACTTCCAGTTCTAAGTAAGTTCTGAGGATATAACGTACAGCATGCTGGCTACAGTTAATAATACTGTATTATATATTTGAAAGATGCTAAGAAAATAGATCTTAAATTTCTCATCACAAGAAAAAAATCTGTAATTATGTGAGGAGATAGATATTAACTAAACTCACTGTGGTGACCATTTTATAATATATAGCTATATTAAATCATTATGTTATACACATAAAACTAATACAATGTTATGTGTCAGTTATACCTCAAACTGGGAAAAAATGAAATTGAACTCAAATAAACAAATAATAAAAATTCCAAGCAGTTGACATAAATGACAGAAATCTATACATTAGCACTTGTGTACTTTATTCATGAAAGCATCTCTGGGTCTTTCTAACTCAGATCTACTTAGATTTATTTAGGTTCTAAAAGACTTAACTACTTTATTTCCCAGCCTTGGCAGATAAAAAAGGAGGCAAATTGTGGTAAGGTTATTCAAAGTTAAACATATCAAAAAATAAATATATTGTGGTTTATAAGTGGTCCATCCTGCAGGAATAGAAAAAATACTAGAAAGTTTTAAAAAGTGAGGTTCAGGGCGCTTGGCTGGTTCAGTCAGTAGAGCATGTGACTCTTGATCTCAGGGCCATGAGTTCAAGCCCCACAATGGGTGAAGAATTTACTTTAAAAAAAAAAAGTAGGTGAAGTTCTTATATAATGCATGGTTTCATATTAGTGGAGAACTGTGTTGTTTTAAATATAATTTTACTGCTCTTTCAAAATTCAATACATATTTAAGAGTTAAGAAGTCAATGGATATGAAAAATCTACATTGACAGAATTAGAAAGTAAAATGAGATATACCTGAAAGTTATAAGCTAATATATTTAAAAAAAATAAATACAGGGAATGATCTAATTCTTCTATATGCCATGAATCTGGGGGAATTTGGCTATTTTAAGATATTTGGACATTTTAAAAAACTAAACATAGCATATGGGAGCTGAAATAAATCTTAGTGCTCACACGGTAAACAGTTTATTTTTATTTATTTTTTTTTTTAAGATTTTTTTATTTATTTGACAGAGACAGAGATAGCGAGAGCAGGAACACAAGCAGGGGGAGCAGGAGAGGGAGAAGCAGGATTCCCGCTGAGCAGGGAGCCCAACGTGGGGCTCGATCCCAGGACCTTGGGATCATGACCCGAGCCGAAGGCAGAAGCTTAACGACTGAGCCACCCAGGCGCCCCACACGGTAAGCAGCTTAATCTTTTCATTTAATAGATATGGCATCTAAGATGGTAGGGCTAGCTAGAAGCGAAAGACTGATTCTCTTTTTACAATAAACTACGCTACTACTTTTTGATCTTTAAAAATAATACATAAAGATATGGTCATTCCCTATAATGAAAGAAAAAAATGATTTGTTAAAGAGGATGTTTATCTAACCGCCTAAAGATCCTAAAATCCACAGCTTCCTAAACAGATAAAATAAACATTTTGCCTAAATTCTATTTGAATAGTATTTAATTTTCCTAATGCTTCTGTTCAGAAATAGACTGAAAGCTACACCCTCAACATACATGTTTTGTCATAATAATAGCTCAGAATCTGAGACGTTTATCCACCACAAACCACACAGGACAAGGCACTTAATTTCATAGATCAGGGTCAAAAACATATCAAAAAGTTCCAGCTATTAACACCTTCTTGATAAAGAAGGTACTCCTTTTGAGATAATATAATAAAGCTTTTTATTTGCCTGTTATATTGAGACTCCTTCAATAAAGTGAATTCCAATGTGTAATAAATCCCCTACTTTACTCTGTGCTTAAGAATATGACATACTCGAAGAGGGCGCCTGGGTGGCTCAGTCGTTAGGCGGCTGCCTTCGGCTCAGGTCATGATCCCGGAGTCCTGGGATCGAGTCCCACATCGGACTCCCTGCTCAGCAGGAAGCCTGCTTCTCCCTCTCCCACTCCCCCTGCTTGTGTTCCTGCTCTCGCTGTCTCTGTCAAATAAATAAATGAAATCTTTAAAAAAAAAAAAAAATATGACATACTCGAAGAAATCTAACCATGGGGATTCAGAGTCATTGAATGGTGGGCTGGCATTTATAATTCTAAATCACTACCTATGTGCATAATCCAAAGAGAAAGGACAGGAAGCTGGCTGAAATGACAATAGTTATGAAATCATCTAGAAATTTCTGCCTGTCACCATTTCACTCTACTTAACTTCTCAGTGCCACAGCTTCCTCATTTATAAAATGGGGATATTTCACACAATTGTTGCAATAAAATAATGTGTGCAAAATGCAGAACAAAATGCATGCGTCATAATAAGTATGCAGTAAAAGCTGGTTGTTATTAGCTGGCATAATTACAACCCAATGAAGAGATAAGGAAAGGAGGGAAACTAGACTAAAAATTGGGAAACCAGAGACCTACTTCATGACAGCTGTGTGATCAACATCGGTAAAATGTAGTTAATTGCCCTGGGCTCAGTTTTCTTCTCTGTAATATTAAGAAACTGGACCAGGTGTCTAAGTTGCCTTCAGTGCTAAAAATTTTACAAAATAGGGGAACCACACCCATAACACAGGGGCTTGAATCTCTATCCCAAAATGGAGCTTTAGGAGCTACACTAGGTATTCTTATATCTCAGAAAAAGAAAAGTAGTCAAGGGTATCTCACCATATAGAGCAAGAAACAACTGCTTTAAGTTGTTCTTGTAAACAACTTGGTTAAAAGGCTCATTCTCGAGCAGAAGGTCCTAATGGGCTTTTAAATATAAAGTTATTTTGAAAATGAAAGCTTCTGTGGTTCTCCCATTACTTAATTTCAAGGATTCTATTTAATCTTGTTTTAAATTCTTTTAAAAATGTTTTATTTTTTTTTTTT